GATCTGAATTCAGATCTGGCCTCAGATACTCACTAGCTGTGTGACCTGGGCAAGGAATGTAACCTCTGTGTTTGTCTCAATCCATTGGAGTAGGAATGGCAAGCCATTCCAGTATCTTTGCTAAGAAAACCCCAAATGGGGTCCTGAAGAGTTGGGACTGAGCAACATGTTCCAGGTACTATGTTAAGCACTAAAGATACAAAGAGAGGCAAAAAACAGTCCCTATTCTCAAGGAGCTGCCAGTCTAAGGAAGATTGTTGTTGTTCAGTTGTTTCAGTTGTGTCCAACTCTTTGTGACCCCATTGGGGTTTTCTTGGCAAAGATACTAGAGTGTTTTGCCATTTCCTTCTCCAGTTCATTTTACAGATGAGAAGCTAAGGCAAGCAGAGTTAAGTGTTGCCCAGGGTCACATAGCTAGTAGGTGTCTGAGGCCAGATTTGAACTCAGGGAGATGAATCTTCCCAACTCCAGGCCCTGCACTCTATCCACTGCACCACCTAGCTGCCCCTAATGGAGTGACAACATGCAAATTATGTACAAACAAGATGTGAATCACAAAGGGAAAGCACTAGCATTAAGGGGATCTGGAGAGGCTTCTTATAGAAGGTAGGACATTAGCTGGGATTTGAAGGGAGCGAGGGGAGCCAGGAGAAAGACATGAGAAGGGAGGAGATTCCAGGCAGAGGAACAGCCAATGAAAATGCAGGGTTAGGAGATGGAGTCTCTTGAACGAAGAACATAGAGGTTTGTGTCACTATACAGCAGGGTATTGGAGGACCTTAGGTGTAAGAAGCCTGGAAAGGTAGGAAGGGGTCAGTTCATGAAGGACTTTAAGACTAAACAGAAGATTTTATATTTGATCCCAGAATAATAGGGAGTGACAGGAATTTATTAGATAGAGGGATGACATTGTCAGAACAGCCTTTTAGGAAACCCCATTTGATAGCAGAGTGGAGAACAGACTGAAATAGGGAGAGGTTTGAGGTAAGGATACTTATTGCAGGCTATTGCAAAGTCCAGAAATGACTTAGGAACACTGATCAACACAATGACCAACTGTATTTCCAGAAGACTCAAGATCAAATATGCTACCCACCTGCTGATAGAAAGGTGATCAACTCAGGGTACAGATTGAGACCTGCTTTCTTTTTGGACATGGTCAATGCGGGAATTGTTTTGTTTAAGTGTTTGTAAAGAGGAGTTTTGTTTTTCCTTGCTTTCTCAATGAGAGGGAGGAGGGAAGAAGATGGGAAAGAGACAGTATAGATCTGAAAACTGGGGGAAAGGCCAATTCTACATAAATATGGGCCAGGGTCATTGACTCCAAGCATTGCCTTCAGCATTGAAAATGACTCTTACAGTCATTGCTGGGTCCTAGCAGAGACAACAGTTACTATGGGCATTCTATAGTGTATGGAGACCCCTGCTGGAGTTCTAGAGTAGAGGGAGAATTCCGGCTCAACATTGCTGTTCTCCGTTAGAGAACTGCACCTAGACAGACTACCTTAGAAGGCTAAAAGTATTGTCAATGATATAGTGCTTCTGAGTGGGGAAAAATGTATTGTTTCCAAACATAAAACACAGATGTAATATCACTGTAAAGAGCAAAGGAGTAATGATGTTGGTGCTCCCTGGTTCAGAGAGGGGAGAGATAAAGAGAGAGACATACAAGAGAAACAGAGACTGAAACAGGAAGAGAAACTGAGAAAAGGATAGAGGCAGAGACATAGAGACACACAGAGAAACAGATGGAGAAAAAGAGAGACTGAGAAAAGAGAAGGCAAGAGGAAGGGGCAGGAGGTGAAAGGATGAGAGGTGTGAGGGAAGGAAGGAAGAAAATAATATGAAAATTAGACTATGTTTTAAACAGTCTACTATGTGTCTGACCTGTTAAATTTCAGGAACACTTGTCAATATGTCCATATAAGACTCCTTCATACCTTCACTTTCATTGAAACACACTCTAAATAGGAATCAGATAAATATTGGGTGATGCAGTACAATTCTCCTCATGTTGCTGGCATTCTGGAAAGGAATTGAGGGCTCATATATTAGTTCACAGATTTTCCTTACCTATGCCTGGCTCAGAGCATCTGGATTTTGATTGGCTAGATTCCAGATCTTATTAGCATACTGTACCCTGACCTGGAATAGAGTACAGCCACTACTTAGAAAGTGGCCAAAGCTTGCTGTGACTGAACTAGAAATGAATTTTTTGGATTGATAACACACTATTATCTGTATCCACCTAAGGAGTCGAAAAGGTAAGGCAGCCTCGACTAGTCAAAAATCCAAAGGAAAACAATATAAGGGACTCAAATAGTTACCTAATATATGTGATATTTTATTGTGGATTATTCTGCAGAAGTGATTTTTTAAAATTGAGTAAACTTTTATAGCCCAAGTAATGCAAAATGGAACTTTTGAAAATCCAGGAATTGTAATCCTTGGAATTGCTATGCATTACTAGGCAGCTCACTTTTTATCCTATCTCCTATGCTATGATATAATCCATTCTTTTTTTCTTGTACTTATCCTTAGTTTCAGAGAAGTATTGGGAAGTTTTAGAATTAAAACTGCTTCCCCTATCAGGAAAAGAACATTTGACTTTTCCAGACTAAGATGTTGTATTCTTTCTTCCCTCTGCTTAAAACATCTGTGTTTGTGCTGCTCTGGCATCATCTCTGTGAATTGCAGAAATGGCTTTTTATTCTACTTCAAGCAAAAGTTTTAGTCAACTCAATACCATCTACCAGCTGTTGCTCTTCACATTTTAGGCAGGTCTCATCAATTGCAGATGTATTGGAGTTAAAGGGGTGAGTTTATCAAAGGGGCCACATCGGCAATATGTGTCTTCTACAATTGCTATTTACTTCAGTTCTCTGTATTCAAGTTGTTTATTTACACATCATTTTCCCTCCAACGGCTTGTTTCTTTCCAAAAGGTAGTGATGGTTTCCTAAGCAATAGCAGGGAGGTGGCTACCATTTTGCAGCAATTAATGTCTTAGACAGGATACAGTACTTCTTTACTCTATTACATTATTTCTGCCCTGACTAGGATAGTTTGTTTGCTTTAAATGGGTTTTGCATGTTGTCTAACAGCCCACGAGTCTTCATTTGTTTGTTAAAACAAGTGGTCTTTTCTATATTTGTGAAATAGGTTTTCAAACTTGGAATCTAAGTCATTTTCCTATCTTTAATCAGTGGATCTCAGTGCTTTACATGTTTAATTGTCATCAAATCCCATTGAGAAATATTTTAGGATTGTAGATTTAGAGCCAGAAGGGACCTTAGAAGTAGTTTAGTCCAATACTCTTATTTTACAGACGGGAAAACTGACGCCTAGATTGGGGAAGTAACAGGCCCACCGTCACAAAGGTTAGTAAGTCACAAAGTAAAAAGAACTGAGAATCGAACCCCAGGTCTCCGGACACACATGAAGCACTTAATAAATGCTTTCCCCTACTTCCTTTCAAATCTAGTATTTTTTTCACTGCCCAGCTGAGCGCATGATTATTTCTGATAGAGGCCTAAAAGTTTCTCTACCTGAACCCTCTCTTCTCAGAGTTAAGGAAATTAGGAGTCAATCCGGCAAAGTAGTAAGAATTCTGGATATGGTTTCAGGGGACCTAAGGTCTACTGCTGGCTCTACCTTTTGTGCACCTGTATGACTTAATGATATAAAATGAGGCTCTAATTGGCTTCTAAGGCCTCTTCTGACTCTTTATGAACCTATGATACTGCACATAACCACACTTTATGCCTTCCCACCCAGTATTCTTTATTTTCAAAAAGCTTTGATTGCTCTCAGTGTAAATCTTTCAAATGTCTTTTTAAAAATCCATCTGAAATCAGATTAGACAAGTCAGATACAGGGAATATCTGTCTTATTTTTTGAGCAGCTTCTTTTTTCTTTGAGAAAATGATAATAAAAAAGATAAAAAAGGAGAGAGAGAAAAATATATGTATTTCTTGATGACTTAGTTTGGTCAGTTTCATCCTACCCGTGGGCTGGAAGGAAAGGAGGGAATAAGGATTTATACAGCACCTACTATATGCCAGGCAAAGTGTAAGTACTTTATAAATATTATCTCATTTGATCCTCACAACAATTCGAGATTTACTGCTGTTGTTGTTGTTCGATCATTTCAGTCATGTTCAACTCTTGTGATCCCACTTGCAGCAAAGATACTGGAGTTAGGTGCTGTTATTATTATCTGTGGATACTGGGGGGCAAACAGAGGTTAAATGACTTGTCCTGAATCCCACAGTTAGTAAATTTCTAAGGCTAAATTTGAATTCAGGACTTCCTGATTTTAAGCCCGGTTCTCCATCCCCATCACCACTAAGCTGCTTAGCACAGTCCGAGTTCATTCACAAGAATTTATTGAGCACCTTCAGTATGGAAGACAGAGTGTTTAGTGTCGAGAAGACAAAAACAACAATGAAAATAAAACAGGCTTTGCCTTCAAAGAGCATATATTCTTCTTTGTAAAGCAAGTCAATCTAGGGAACTTCCCTACGCAAAGTACAAGTAAAAGATCTGGCCTGTAACAAGCAGCAAGTGCCAGTGGCTCCTCCTCAACTTCTCTCTCTCCAGCCCTAGAATCAAGCATTAAATTGAAACCCAATAGAGTACTAGAATGGATGGCTAAACTATTGGTAAGCAAGTTTTTTTGTTGTTGTTTTTTTTTCCCCTCTCCCTGTGAGATTACTTTCGGTCATTAAGTATTTTCCACTGCTTTGGCCATGAGTATGTTAGAGCTTTCAAAACTTTTGACGGAACAAGTTTTTCTGGCAGATGAACACTGATTTTTATCTTTAATGGTTAGCCTCATTATCTTTTTTTTTTTTTTTTTTTGTTTCAATGTCAGGAAACAGCCTCCTGGTCCAAACTGCTTGAGAGTGGAGACAGCTAGCCCTCATCTGAAGCCTCTGGCAGAGAAATCATTGCAATATTTCAGAAAAGATCTGAGCAGTCGGAAAGTTGTGGGGGACAATGACAATGGAGCCCGAAGACTTTGTTTCTCAGAATAGAGAAACAGTGAGTTGGGACATTAACGATATGAAACTGCCTCAGGTATGTACTGAGCCCGTGTTCTAGGAAGCTGGTTTCTAAGAATCTGCTTGAAACTGAGATCCTTGGAGTGACTGAGCTTGACTCTCTTATTTGGACCACTAGCCTGGTGAGAACCGATAGAGAGCTGGAAAGGTCCTAGCCTGGGCTTTTAACTTGGATACTTTAACTGACCTTAGATAGCCGAGCTTAGAGGAGAAAATACCCAACTCACCCTAAGGTTCTGGTCAGCCAGATTCCCAAATCAATCCTTGACTGAAGTCAAAGGACAGCACTTCCTTTCTATAACATGGTCAATTAGGATTGTGCCCACTGATAATTTGTCATAAATATTATTTTTGTGCCTTCTCTCTTTTAGTTATTTCCTTTTTATACCGTACTGTAACTTGTTTGTACATATTTGTATGCTTGTTATCTCCCCAAGTAGATTATGCACTCCTTGAGGGCAGGGACTGTCTTTTGCCTTGTTTTGTATCCCCAGCCCTTAGTACAGTGCCTGGTCCATTTTTGTTATTTTTAAGTTGTTTTTTCAGTCATGTCAGACTCTCTTTGACCTCATTTGGGGTTTTCTTGGAAGAGATACTGGAGTGGTTTGCCATTTCCTTTTCCAGTTCATTTTACAGATAAGGAAACTGAGGCAACTAGGTTAAGTGACTTGTCCAGGATCACACAGCTATAAGTGTCTGAGGCTAGATTTGAACTCAGGAAGATGAGGACTTCCTGACTCCAGATCCAACACTCTATCCACTGAGCCACCTAGCTGTCTTCCTGGCACGTAAGAGGCACTTAATAAATGTTTAGACTGACTGACTAGTGAAAGTCACTGTAGTATAGTGGAAAGACTTATGAGTCAGTAGAGATCTGGGTTTAAATCTCACCTTGAACACTAGCTGTGTGACAGTAGGGAAGTCACTTTGTCAGTCACTCTGAGCCTCCACTTTCCTTATCTGTAAAATGGGGACAGTAATTGTATTCCCCAGTGGTGTAGGCCTTAAAGGGTTATTTCCTGTCCCTACCCACCCCAATTTCCCTGGTGCAGGCACTTCCCTGTCAGATGAGTTCACTTCTCTAATTTATAGCCTTAGAAAGTTGCCTGGGGCACTGAAAGAAATTAAGTGACTTGCCCAGGGCCACAGAGCCAAGATGCAACAAAAGCAGCACTTGAACTCCTGTCTACCTGACTCTAAGGCCATTGCTTCTCCAGTAGGTGGTTTTAAGTATCAAATGAAATGTCTGTAAACTTTGCAGCTCCATGCAAGTGTCAGCTGTTATCTGTGCTTTGGGGATGTGGAGGTAGGATGATGCAGGGCAAGGAGGAAAGCACTATACAATTGTACATTAGTGGAAGTAACAGTTTCATGGACATATGTCAAATGGCATGTCCCATGGTAGGGAGTGGGGTGGGGGTTGAGGGGAGCGGGACAGCATTGCATAGCTGGCAGAGAGCCGGTCTTAAGGTCAGGAAAGCTCTGGGTTCAAGTCCAAACTCCTAACACCAAGTCTTCCTTGGTGTTTTTGTTTCCTCATCTTTCAAATGAGGGTGCTGGACTCCATGGTTTCTAAGCTCCTTGCAGGTTCTAATATTGTTATCTAGCCATAAGGAGTGACTGCACAAATGAGTAAGTTGATATTTCATTATCTTATTAATTAGCAATAAGCAGCATGGGGCAGTGTTGAGAAAGCCAACCTCAGAGTTAGGGCTATGTGAGTTGAAGTCCTACCTTTACCACATACTAATGGCTCTGGAATTCTGGGCACCTTCCGACGCCCCAGGCAACCATCTTTGACTAGTCATTGAGGAATAGGTACTGGTCTGCATAGGTAGAGGAAATTCCTCACTGAGAAGTCCCTATATTGATGAAATTATATATATACACACATATAGTATGTATTTAATAATATATTACAATATGCACATGTCTATATTAATACATATATAATATAATAATATACATTATAATATATATCTATATTAATAGATATGTAATATATAATAATATTCACATCTAATGTATATATTATGTGTGTATACATCATATATAATGTGTATAATAATATATACATATAATATATATATACACACATGTTATGTACACGTTCAGTTGTTTCGTTCATATCCAACTTTTGGTTGGACAAAACCCCATTTGGGATTTTCTTGGCAAAGATACTGGAGTAGTTTGCCATTTCCTTCTCCAGTATATATATTATAGGTAGATAAATAGATTATTTTTGCTATAAGGCAATTCGTTTACCTTCATGTCCAGCCTCAATCCCTTCTGCTGTCATTTAAGACCATGTCTTATTATTGACACATTAGGAGTAATGGAGATCAAGAGATTGCCTCTTTTCACGTGACAATTTCATATAGTTGAAGTCTGTTCAATGAATCTTCAGCTCAGTTTTCTCCTAGCAAATGCAGTAAAATCTCTGTATTTGTGGGATTTGCATTGACCTTTTTATGTAGTTAGCAGAGTGCTTATGATAGTAGTTGTTAGTGTTTCATTTACATACAACTCAACTCAGTTCAATTCGACAAATGCTTATTAAGCAGTGAAGATTGTAAATAAATTTTTTGTTGTTGTCCAGTTATTTCAGTCATGTCTGACTATCTACAGATAAGTATCTACAGAGTGCCTACCATGTACAAGTCACTGTGCTAAGTTACATGAAGGGATTTGTTGTTAACTCTTTGTCAACTCTTTGTGTCCAACCCTTTGTGACCCCACTTGGGGTTTTCTTGGCAGAGATACTGGAGTGGTTTGCCATTTCTTTCTCTAGTTCATTTTACAGATGAGAAAACTGAGGCAAATAGCGTTAAGTGACTTGACCAGGGTCACATAGCTATAAGTCTCTGAGGCCAGATTTGAGCTTATGAGTATTCCTCATTCCAACCCCAATGTTCTATCCACTGTGCCAACTGGCTACCCTAATATATGTATATACATATATATTTATACATACATACATATATATCTACATATATAAACACATTTCTATATAGATAGATAGGTTTAGACTTCCACTATCCTTAATATGGTTGTGTATATACATTAAGTTAGTGTGCAAAGGAGGCCCTACATCTCTGGAATTTTTACACATATCATATAGTAAGTTATGTATTCTTGTAAATTTGACCTCCCTCTTTATTTTTTTTTATTTTTTTTAGTGAGGCAATTGGGGTTAAGTGACTTGTCCAGGGTCACACAGCTAGTAAGTGTCTGAGGCCAGATTTGAACTCAGGTCCTCCTGACTCCAAGGCCAGAGCTCTATCCACGGTACCACCTTCCTCTTACTTTAGAAGAATCATCATTTTAACTCTTGATTTGGCCTCAAGTAAGGATCCAGTCATTTTTGTTGGGTTGGGTTAGGTGGTGATATTTCCTCATGTGAGATTTCAATGTAACCACATTCCCAGAAGGATTCACAACAACCCTGTACAGTAGTTAGCAGAAAGGGTTACTTACTAGAGATTAAGAAACTGAGGCTCAAGGTGGTTAACATGACCTGACCTTCTCAAGCTCACACCTCGGAGGAAGATTCTAACCTAAGTCTTTGAACTTGGGATTCAGGGCCATTTCTACTACTCTACAGTAGAAAACATATATAACCTCACTAATCTCCTTGACTAAGAAGCTTTTTCTTTTCTTTTTCAATTATGAATTTAATGAACAACATGAAAAAGGTACACAAAGTAGAACAGGACAAGAGAATTGTAAGTGAAATTGTGAATCTCTATTACATTCATTTTGTTGCCTTTTTTTTTTTTTTTTGGTCTCACTATAGTTTTAATGAGAACAAGTCTGTCCAGGAGAACAAGAATGAGATTCTCATGACATAGAATGTCCTGGAAAAAAAAAGTCATATAGTTGATCTAGTGGCTGATAAGACTTAATCTAGGGAGAAGGTTCTTAACCTGGGAGCTATTAACCTTTTAAAAAAATTTATAACTATATTTCAACATAAGGTAGCCAAAGGGCACAGTTAATAGACTGCCCAGCCTGGAGTCAGAAAGATCTGAGTTAAATATGGTCTTAAACACTAGCTGTGTGACCCTGGACAAGTCACTTAACCCCATTTGCCTCAGTTCCTCACCTGTAAAATGAGGTGGAGAAGGAAATGGCAAACCACTCCAGTATCTTTGCCAAGAAAACCCCCAAATGGGGTCACGAAGAGCCAGACATGACTGAAACAAATGAACAACAACATTTCAACATAATTGCTTTCCTTTGTAATTGTGTGTGTTTTATTTTATAAATTTAAAACTATTGAATTTTGCATTAAAAATTATGCAAATGCATTAAAAATTCTGAGAAGGAGTCTATAGCTTTTACCAGATTGCCAATGGGTCCATAAAGCAAAAAAGGTTAAAAAAAAGCCTTGCTCTGAGAATAGCCTAAACAGAAGAATAACTCTTAATTGAAGGAAGAAGATTTTGTGTGGTAGAGTACGAAGCACACTTGTTCTGGAGTCCAAGGACCTGGGTTCAAATCCCACCTGTGACACCACCTGCGTGACCTTACGCAAGTCATCTCCCAATGGTCTCCGAGGTTCCTTACAGCTTTGAGAACTATGATCCTCAATAATCCACTTCAGTTTATCTAGGCAAGTCATGTAACCTCCCTGAGACTCCTTTTTCTTATCTATAATGTAGGGATAGTAATCAATAGACTATTCTATAGAAATGTAAACTACTGCTGGATCATAAGATCATAGATTTAGATGCAGAAGGAACTTTATTGTTGTTCATTCATATCCGACTCTTCATGATCCCGTTTGGGGTTTTCTTGGCCAAGATGCTAGAATGGGTTGCATTTTCTTCTCCAGCTCATTTTACAGAAGAGGAAACTGAGGCAAACAGGGTAAAGTGACTTGCCCAGGGCCTACTAGCTGGCCTAGTGTCTAACTTTCCAAGGTCTTTTGGAAGACTAGTTCCCTACTGCTTACCTTCAGGGAGCTCCCATAAAGCCCCAGTCCCCTTACTTTTCCAAATCTGTTTTGTACAA